ACACAAATTTCATTTTTCATTGAGTTATGTATCTAAGGAACACACGTGGATTACATCATGTTTTACCTTGATCTTCCTAGTAATCTCTGTCACTACTGTTCTTCGCCAAGTGGTGTTTGGCCTTCAAGATTTTCTCTAGGTTGTGTTGGGTTCTTTTTATTAGCACACGACCTATCATTTTGATTGTAATGTAAAAGTTGTAAAAGTATAATATTTTAAAGTAAGAGAAAATATAACTTTAAGATTTACCTCCGTATTCACAAACAGTATGATTTATCAAATATTACACAAGTTTTATATAATGTTCATAGTTTTAATAAGTCACTATGGCAGTTTTATTTACAGCTTGTCCGAAATTTAGAAATCGTTGGAAAATCATGTCAAACTAAAGTTTTATGATACTTCAAGAATTTGGATATAATTGATATCTCATTTTGTTCAACTCGTTTTGAGCCTAAATTAAGTCAGGGTCAGATTATGTTTTGTAAAGTTGTAAATACGTATATTCTCAAAATAAGAATCGGTGTTAATTACTTCACTGATGACGTAACTGTTGCAATGTTATAAATACGAGGATCATGTTTTGTTGTGTGAACCTTAATGGTCGATTCTGATGTCCGCATCGTGTGATGTAAACACTATGAATGGCATTATGGGAGACGTTGTAACCACAAATAAGATATGAATTCACCGCAATAGACTATATGTATGACGAGATTGTTAAGTGTCTATGATATAAATGATGTCTTAATGTTCTTAATACGTCAAACTTCATAATTGACGTTAACAGGAACTATACTTTGTGAATTCAATGTGTCACCACAAAGGACACAAACAGTACAATACATTACCGTTCAAAATTATTCAGAATATCGAATATAGCAAAATAAAAAAATTGCTTATAGTTGGCCAGAATAGGTCTATATTATAAATAATAAGCATCGCTCTATCAGGGCTTATTATTTCATTGATGATTTTCATAAAATCGCTACATGCTATATTGCCGACAGCTTTCGGCGAGGCTCATTGGTTGGTCAAAACTGGGAGCATTTCAGATTACGTAGTTCAACTATTTGCAGTGAAAACACAGGGATTTTGTAGCGATTTTATGGAAACCAGGTTTTATGAGTTTACACCGGGATGGTGTAAAACCATGGAGGAACAAACTTATTCCGCATGGTGAAAGTTAGACTGGTATTTGGTATTTATATGATATACTAAACTCGTTTTATATTTCCATTTTTATAAACAACTCTGACTATTTCATTGTATATAATCACGAAGATTTATATACCACATTGTATGTCGGGTTCTCAGTTACTGTGTTGATTTTAAAGTTGCTACATACATGTTCCAAAACGCTGGTAACACGTGCGATTGAATATTTGCGTTGTTTGTTACCATACAGATTGCGTCATAAATGGTATTCTGCAAATATTTAAGTTTTCTAAACTTGTCGTAATCAGGAAAGTACTGTAATAGTACCGGTAAGTTGTTTCTTGAACAATCGGAAACTATCGTTCAATAGTTTTTTAAAGCAAAGTTTATGAATCTGGCTCTCTTTAAAATTGTAGGCGATTTTTTTTCCAAATTTTATGAAAATCTGAAGATATGAAAAGAAAAACGATATTAAAGTTGTTTTAATATTCAAATAATTTAAAAATATAGGTGGAAAGGGTAGCTATAGCTTAACTTCTATTATAGAGGAAATATTTTAAGATTTATTACAGAGAAATAGAAATAAAAATGTAAACATACTTTACTACTGTATAGTATGGGCAAAGCAGCACTAGATTGTGTCCAATATCCGTTTACTCTTTATTGTGATTTTCGTTGTCATCTATTCTAATATTTCCGCGCATGCGTATCAGCTTCTTTATCTTATAAGCGTTTATGAGGTTTCGTCAAATACTAATATTTTTTGCGTCTTAGAAAAATCAGCTGTTGAAAGGTGGCAATATCAGGATAGCGCAGAAAAACTCTAGACGTGTTAAAACTCCTACAAGGGCGAGTCAAATGGCCGAGCCGTAAGCAGGGGCGCTGCAAGAAGCTACATCCATAAATATCGGCGCTGGTTCGAACGGCACGCTTGGCTGTAGTTCTGGTGGTCGAACAAGTCGGATAAGGACTATAAACCGTAGGCCCAGTGTATATAATGGCTCGTGTGCACTATAAAGAACTCAATAAATCCTTCGAGATACCCCGGTGTACTGGAACAGTGGTGGACGACGAGAGTTGCTGGTGCTGGTTACCGGGTAGCACAGACTCGATACCCACATGTTATGTGTGCTCTGAAACTTATATTATTATCGAAAGTTGTCTTACATCCGATTGGTAGAAGAGAAGCGTCTAAACACTACTGGAGTAAGAAAAACAAATTATCCTGTGACGCAACAACAATGAATGAACCTACACAATTTTAGTAAGTTAATTATTTTATCAAACATTTTTTCGTACACGTATACGGTGGAGCTGTTGCGGCACTACGATATTTTGGTTTGTGGTCCGAACGCTCACTGTTGGACAAGGTATTCCTTACGTTTTTTTCTCCACCCGGGGGTAGGCCTATATGGGTAATGTTGCACTGAATACTATTTAGTTGTGCGTATTCTATATTCCTATTGAAGCACTATTGTTGAACAGTTATGAATCAAGTGATGAAAAAAAGTCTCGTGGTGTAAAATTGTATTATTCAAAAAATAGGAATCCCGCCCTTTCGAAAAACACTGCACAAAGAAACTCGTTACCGTATTACTTATTAGTATGGTCTAGTAGTACCAATGAAAAGGCATTTTCAATCGGCCTCAGTTTTTTTTTGGTAATGTGTTTTAATGATTAATAATGTTGAAATATGAGCTAAGAAGCGTATTACTGTATTGCCTCAGTGATGAATAAGTAAAATATGTGACAATAAATGAAAGAATTCAATCGAATGCGAATTAATTTAACGTTTAGCCCGCCCTCTATAATTAGTGAACGATTGAACACCGCCAAAATGTAATCAAAATTTGCAGAGGCCACTTTAACTTCCAAAGATGCAGATGTACAAAGTTTCATTCGCTTAAATACAGAAATGATTTACGCGTCAGTTAAAAATTGATTCGAAAAATATTTCTTGACTTAATTTTTATAAAAACCGTAAACATACAAATATAATAATTTTGATTTTATTTTTTAGCTCAAGAAACAGAATATTTTAAAAATGAACATTTCTGCTGACGAGATGCCTTGAGAACTTGGCAGTTCGTGTAGCCTGCCCTCTATAGTGATGTAGGGACGAACGATAATGCCTCGGGAATATAAAGAACCATTTATTAGTGATACTGTTTTAGGAATGTCATTTTGAGGATAGGTCATTCATTAAACTCCTCCATGTTCTGGTAATGTTCATGAATTATGACACTTCCCTTATTACTGTAATGATTCAACTAATAAATAATTTAAACGAATGTTCTTTTGCTATGGGTACCATCATCATTAACCGGCATATTACCCATTGTACTAATTTGCAAAAACACAAGCGAGTTCTCATCCAACCTATCAACATGTAATGCCAATTGATGGACTTTCTTATTCAAAGTCAATGTGATTTAACATCAATGTCACATCACTAAAATACCTATAATACTACCAATTCATTTGCGTCACATGCAAAACGGGTACACATTCACCAAATCCCACTGGCTGAAGCTTCATACTTAATTGTCCACACTGTAAATGTTTGTTACACCTGTAATTTGCCCATATTTAGGTATATTATGACATAATCATGCCTATATATGGTAAAATTTTCTCAAAATTGACAATGTGGAAATTTGATAGTGTAGATCGAGCGGTTAATGCCTTAACTTCTTAAATAAAATCAATTATTTATGGATGCAAACAGAGACCTCCCCGGTTTGTTGTTTTAAACATTAACTTGTCAATCGGTGATTCACTGTCTCTCAAAAACCATATTGAATTGTGGTTGTTTAATTTACCACATTTCATTAAACCACTATATTCAATACCAGTATTGTAATTAAATAATTCTAATATCGAACATATTTGCTGTACACATACCTAAAGAAAAATAAAATAAATAGGCCTACTGTACATAATCAACTTCTCAATCTTTGGTATCAATATGCTTTATAATAATTATATCTGTATTTTTATTCTGTTTTGTTCTTTAAAGCACTACATAAATGCTTAATGATTTGCTGAATATTTCAGTTAATCAAACAGTAGCTTATCTTACAAATGTGCTTTGTTTCTCCGTCATCGTCGTTCGCATTAAAGCGGCTCTCTCTTAAACTGACTCCCTCTCTTAATTGATGTCAACATTAATTTCGAGTTCTGTCATTATTCTGTCCGTTTTAAACGTCAACATTCCGAGCTCTCAGTACTTGGTTGGCTGTGGGGAGCAGCGCGTAATCTCATTTGCATATAATATACAGTCTCAGTCATCAATACTTGTACAGTGCGAGCAAATGAACTGCTTTAAGTGAGCATAAAAAAAGTTTCTGAATCTGCTGTCGTTCGTGACAAATGAGCTCAATTTCTCATCAAGGCACAAAGTTTCATTAGCATCATAGTCTTAGGTTTAATATCGGAACGAACAAATTTCACTCGTAGTAATCGTCGTAGAAACATTAATGGATGTCGCAAGCTGGGCGTATTGGCGCTCATGTTGCTAATCTACGTGTTTTTATTCTTAATCGGCCCGGTTAAACGTTTGAAACATACAGCGGTCGTTGAATGCCAAAACAAAAGCCACCTTCGTTGCTACTACAACTTCGAATTGCTAAACGACGGCCAATACTTGAGGTGGTCGTCATGGGTGACATTTCGTCTGGTGAATTCCGACAGCGATTCGGAAGGCGAAAAACGTTCGTATTGAAAGCGAGGAGAGCTGCTAAAACTATTAGAGTAACACCGATAGAAAACACTATTGCAACTATTTGTGAGGTGGTGACTGAATCCAGAGGGTTGTTTCCTGTTAAATAAAAAAGGAGTTTCCATTAATTTGAATATTGTGATAATAGGCCTAGTAATAAACTATCAACGACGGTTTTTAAATTGGGGGCAGTATCGCTGTGCACTTGACAGCGGTGTTTATCACAAAAATGTAGTGCTAATTGTACCATGATAGATGCCTACTTGACTTGTTTCATTCGTAATTGAACACTTAAAAAATATCCGTTTATCGCTTGTAAAACTTCTTTAATAATTACACTTCCGTCTATATATTTGATCGTTATTATATAATTATACATCCTCAGGCCGTGTATAAACTGTCAGAGGCGAATCCAAAATTTGTTGATGCCGGGGATGTGCAAGTGTGGCAATCGACGACCTATGGTCCAAATACGGCGGGAATCTCTATGATTGAGAGAAGAAGGTTCTGGGGTGTTCCTATTGTGAGGGTCAAATATGGATCCCTGCAAGCCTCGGAGGTTTAGCTATTTTATTTTCTTATCTAAAAAATGTTTACAGTTGTCTAGTGATTGTTTGGTTGCTGGGGAAGTGGGTGGGGGAACGCCCTTTGTGCCACAACATGAACCCCCCACTGATTGTGCATGCATCCTTACCACGTAATGTATCGCATAGAGACAAATCTTCGTCACTCATATCCTGACAGTTCTTGCGTTCATTGCACCGTAGGCAGTAGTCGATACACTTCGTTCCGTTATCGCATACATAACAGCTAGGTCTATTAGCTGAAGAAACAAATCAAGCAAATACAGCTCAAATTTATTAGCTCTTACTAATGATACTGAAATTAATACTAGAATATAAATTACTAAATTACCTATTGTGATCGTCACAAACTGTGGAAAGTGAGAGAGGGATGTGAACTGAAGAGGAAAGAAGTAAAGAGGAAACAGACGATACAAAAACAATGAAAATACAGGCATCATGCATCATTCATATAAATCATAATACACCATTTTAAAAGACAGATGTAGGCCTACAGCTTGTTAGGAAGAATACGACTAGTAAATATTATGATAAGCCTATTGTATAGGCTTCTATAGTATCAAATCATGTATAGGAGTGATGTGTAACATATCATTTGTACAACAAGGCAGACCGTATTATTAGAAGGCTACTTATCAAAAGCCATGACTGAACCTCACCAATTTGTGATTTCGTATCCCAAAACAGGCTGAAAAGTATCCGTAATTTTAACGGTCCAAAATCTTTGCGAACTGTTCGTCTTAGAATAATTCTTAAATAGTTCCCTGAAGTTGTGTACGGACCAGGTACTTGCGACGTGTAGTTTCCACACAGTCCTTCCCGAGGAGTAAGCAAGTTGGAAAAATCGGGCACTTTTCCTCCAATCAGTGACACCCACGTGGAGTCACATTCTTTTAAATCTCCCGCCAATGCGTATAGCGTATCGAATTGGAGATATATCTGCATTCCGGTTGGTGCTTTGAATGTAATATCGCAAGAACCGATACCATTGGCGGGAACAAGTGTCTTTGCGGGTGCAGTAAACTTGATCATGCCGTCGTGTTGGGTGAGCTTCACATAGCTTTCCTCATCACAATAATCCTCAATGTTTACTGAAACGAACAATTATTAAGACTTGTATAAAACTATTTAGATCTGTCATAAAATATAGAAAAGATGACAATGTTTTTCTGTTAAGCTAAACATACCCTACGTCGTACGACCGTCGCCCGACGAATCGTTGTTTTCTTCATTGAGTCACGTCGGCCTAAAACTGGCTTTGAGGTAGTATGAATAGTACAATTGATATTGGAGAAAGTGAAACTTGTTTTTTTTCTATCTTAACATACACTCCTGTGCCTGAAAGCAACTTTTAGAGCCATAGAATAAAATAGACGAACAGGAGATTTCAATAATGAAGTTTATTTATTAACGGAAGGAAGGAAGAAATTGTTTGTTGCATGTTAAATTGTTCCGAAGATTTTCAAGTTCCCTGCCTTCGGTGCCAAAATCATGGACTCGATCAGTACATAATTATCCGGTAGTTCCTCATCACATAAGAAAACCCTATTTAAGCCTCGTTTAAATAGAGAATGCCAATATATAGGATTTCAATCACATTTCGTGTCCGATTCATCGCCTTTGGTAGAGATCGACATCAAATAAGATACGTGTTTGGGATACCATATTTTAGGAAACCGGAATTTAACATGCAATCCGCCTAATCTACCTCTCCCCATAGGCAGGTGATCTATGTCCATTAATCAATGCCCTAACCGAATGTGACTATTTGAAAGTTCAATAATTTGAGGATCCTGTAAAGGGGATTCACGACACTTGGAGCAGAGGAGTGTCTCATAATCAACGTGTTTACCTAAGAAATATCGTAGCATGTAGACTGCTCATATAGGCCTATGCCATTTTTTCATTATGGTGGTACATCCCTCTTCACTACAACTGATGTTTTATAAACGCTTTGTGTATATAGGCGAACATGCAAAGTGTTTGAAGTTTGAACGAAGAACACTAAACCAGCGTTCTTAAGATTAGATTAGATATTTTATTGACATAAATAAAAAGTATTACATAAAGTAATTGTCATTTGAAAAAACTAAATGCAGAATCTATGTAACCAAAATTTAAAATGATGGAGTCCAAATGTTGACGTAGAAAAATCAGATTAAGATGGGTTTTACGTTGCGATTTTAGCTTACGACAAGCTGGGCTAAAATCGTCTGGTGCTCGGGATTTGGGGCAAGGTGTAGTATTATGGATATATACAACACGACGGATAGTCTTACGATATCGTAGTATTTTGAACATGTTCAACAATTTTAGTCGTAAGTGTCGTAGCGCAGCTTATCGTAAGCAAAGTCGAAAGGTTAGAGCCCGGCTTAAAAAAAAAACAAAAAACAAAAAACAAAAACGATCGCACATCCATCGACGCCGTCACAAGAACATACTGCACTCACAAGCGTCCACATCCCATAAAAAAAACCAGGCTTGCTCATATATACGGTACGACAAAGTATTTCCCTTTCTATTTCTATTGGTGTTTAGAATGTATCGTATAAAGCTAGCTACCTTTATACCCCTATTACTAGGTGTTGCTGGCCTGGGCGAAGACGCGTAATTACAGCTATAAGGGTAAGGAGCGAAGGGCACATTTCGATCATTGTACGCCGCCAGTCACATAGTTACAGAATATTTAACAAGTACAGTAATTATATATCGAATTGCCGTTCAGAATCACTCAATCAAAGTAGATGATGCTTTAACACATTATAAGAATGATCGATTTTTATATCAAAACAAATGAGATAAGTTTGATTTGTTTAAGTGACGCGTTCTATAGTTGTGGCTGTAATAATAAGGACAACGATGACGGTGATGATGACAATGATGATTGCGATGATTTTGATGGTGGTGATAATAATTAATAACAATAATAATTATTATTAATGATGATAGTTAACAATCATCATTATCATTATTGATGATAATTAATACGGTAGGCCTAAATATAATAAATTGATGATAATTAATAATAATAATAATAGTAATAATGAGTTCGATGGTGAAGACCACGATGATGCCAATGGCGATAATAAAATTATTATGTCATAATTATAATAGGCCTGCCTGTTCGGCATTTTCGATTTTTCTGGAGAAATATCTTTGATGCACAAGAAATACATAAATAAAAAACATAATATATTTCTATATTGATATTCTTCATAAATATATAAATACTTTACTTATTATGATTGTTATTAAAGTGTAATTAATTTTCTTCTTATTATTATTATTAGTATTGGTGGTATTATTACTATCATGCATGTGCATGTATGTATGTGTGCACTTACGTATGTGTATGAGTATGCATGTATGTACGTATCATGTATATACATTTATATTCCCCTTTTCTTTCAATCTGGCCTTATAATTGTATATACAGTTGAATCTCATCAGGTGGTCATGTCCTAAAGTTATTAACTTATTTTGACTACCTTTCACACTCGCTTCACATTTTATTTAAAAATTGAACTTTGTACTCCTGAACACGTTACTTACCGTATTTCATGACAATGTATTTCATAATTTTTGTCTCATTTGTTCCTGATTATGTATATATTATTGTGTGAAGAACCAATAAATCAAATCAAATCAAACAAACTAGACTATGTAGATCTGACACTGGCGTGCTCCGTCGGTGAATAGTTATATCACCGGCTCGACGGGGCCTCTTATTGGGCGCTTTATTTCAGTGTTAAGTAACACGAGTTGAGAGACCTAATCTGTGCCTTCACATTAACCATCTCCTTCAGCACTCCCATTTATCGTAAACATTCCGTAAGAAATCATTCTAAACAGAAAATCAATACTTTTGACATACGGTATATTGCCTCTTTATTACGCAACTGGACATTAATAATAATATAGTTGTAAAAATGCCGAAACGGCTTTCTCTTGTAATTTCGATAAGCGCAAAATGAAAGAATAATGGCATTGTAATCATCACCAATCAGTTGCAACTTTCCAGTTTGGTTATGAGACCGAGAATGACGTCACCATGCACATCATTCTCGTGCTATATTTTAAACCCGTCACGCCAGACATTCACATTAATTCTGATATATTGTATGTTGGTATATGTTACAATTATGACAAACAATTTGTGCAATTTAATAGCACGATTTATTGGATCTTTACAGTTCTCCGACGAGCAGTGGCGGTTGAGCGTTTGCTTAAGTGTATTTTAGCACCTTTGTAGTGACCCTAAAACCAGTCAAACACTGCTTCGTACGACCGTTGGACTCCACTCTTTGCCAGTGTTTGACGGCGCGACGCCGCCTGTTGCTTGGGTAGCAGCGTGGGCAGACCGCAATCATTACGATCCGTAGCGCGTGCCTCGTCGTGGAATGGCGTCGCGTCGGCCGACACAAAACTTTTGTCACAAAGGCTCGTGCACATTAAGCTACGTTTTCTAATGAATTCACAGCCATTTAGAGAACGGAAAGCTCAAGATATTTATGTTTTCAACAAATTTGTATGGATTATTGATTCTCACTTTCAAATAGAATGTCATACGGTACCAAATACAGTAGCTGCAGTAAGGCCTAAGCCAATGTCAAAATGCAAACGATTGATGATATTTGCCTCTTACGAGGGTCGGTCAATACCTCACTTCAGCCTGTTATTAATACAAATACATTCATACTCATAATTGACTATTTCGTGCTTGTTTATAGGGACAAATTGTATACACGTCAATGTGACATCTATGTACAGCGTCACCATTAGCTAACATTACTTGTTCATTGACAATGGTCCCAGAGGACAGGCTGAATGTAGTTGTTAAACTTCATACCCAAAAGTTCTTTAAAATGTTATAGTACAGTTTGCTATAGAAACTTAAATACTGTCAATCAGATTGAGAAGAAATTGATGAAATTACAGCATATAGAATAGGGCAATGGCGGCGGTGGCGGCTGTGACACTCGATGGCGTCGGCAGCAGCGCAGTACATAGGCGGGGCCCAAACGGCTCGCCCCCTCTCCCCCCTCCAAATTGAAAAAAAGTGAAAAAGTGCACTCAAATCCGAGAGAGTAACTTCCACTCCAAAGAAGAAAGAAATGTCTTAGGCCTAACTTAGACCCATCCATGATAGGGCTGAGGTTTTTGGACCCTCCATCTGTTATTTCCTTCGCGGGGTCCCCTCTATTTCCACTTCATAAATCCGCCACTGCACTGTAGCATTTACTAGGTAGGAAATAATTGTTATAACGAATTTTATGTATAGGCCTAATATATATTTTAAAATAAATATAAATAAAATGTTGTTATGAATTGAGGCAGAATGCGTACAGCAAAACCAAGCTTAATTATGAGATATTTGGACAATAGGGAAAATTAAAACAGAAAAATAATGTGTATGTAAACTTTAACAAAACGTGTTCATTATTCATACAGTGTGAATGTGACGCACTTTCTTCTGCATCACGGGCTGCATCTTGAAGATAAACGTACAATTTAGTGTTTGTTTCTCTCCAATGTACCGTAATGTTCGAGACTTCTCTACATAGGCATTACGTACGTTTCCTGTGATGACAAAATCATACTAATTAGTTACAGTGCCAATGGTCAACTAGGGTTCACATGAAATCACCCTATAACGGACATACGACCCTCATTTAACAGTGATTTAGCATTGTGTTTGTTACACACACAATTGTCATGATCATCACAAAGTAATAATTATACACTTTTCTTTTATTTTTATAAGAACCAGTAAAATTTTGCGTAGGCTCGCTGTTCATATTTTTTGGCCAATTTCAGGCTCAAAATGTTCTTAATTTCTTCTTATTTTACATACTTTTCCAACAGAAAATTGTTATTGTAAAACAGTATTCACTGTGCTGTACCATGTAGGTAAAAGTGGCTTCAGAAAAAAATCGCCCCTGAAAAAAGGCCCTGGAAAGAATAGCCCAGAAAAAAAGCCCCGGTAAAAATGGCCCCAAATGACAGGACGTACACATAGAGAGTATTACATAATTTATTTTAATATTGTTTCAATCCAAATCCACAAAAATATAAATGATAATGGGAAGAT